GAATACAACATCGAGAGAAAGAAGTACTTTGCTACGTTCCTGATCTGAATATAGTAGCCGAAGCTTCAGCATCTATCTCCGAAATCGTAACCCGGAGCACGCCCCAGGTTGGACAAGGGCATGCGTTTCGCGGAGCGACAGCACAGGCAGCTTCAATACTGCCTGCATGTTCACAACGGATTTCTGTGTTTGTGATCTAGCCTTTAATAATATAGTCTAATGGGCTTCGGTGTATGTGAATTTGGGATGTATCGTCATTTGACTGCAGTGTGAAGTGTTGAGGTAATTTGGGGGGCATTACAATAGATAAATCAAGACGATGGGTACGAATACTGAGGGTTGAGGCTTCAAGACCAACATAATCCCAATAATTCGAGGGCCCGGTTGTCTGCATGTAGACACGACTGAATTTGTGTGGTTTGGTCTGAGGAATTAATAGGGATCGGTATATGACGGCATTTGTTTGGGATCAAGTGCATCCAAGGACTTGTTGAAATTCTTCCGGTGCATTCAGCAGATCTAGATCGATTCATCCTTAGGAATTGGAGATTCCCTGGGGTCCAAGAGCTTCCAGGTACTTGATTTAATCGCCGGGCAATGAACCAAGCCATCCCTCGAAAAACAAAAAACGCCAATCCGAGACCCTGGTGGGGTTGTGGTATTTAAGTGCATTCGTTGTCCTCGAGAAAGATGTAAAGGAGCAGCCGTCCATCCATCGGTAGTCCTGCCATGCAAAGCTTGACGTTTAGAAAGTAGGGTTTCGGGCTTAGGGGCTGTGAAATAGCAGCCATTGTCCATTGTCATAACTATACGAAATGATTTAAGGTCAAATACGGAATAACGCACTTTGTTACTTATTGGAATACACATAGATCATACTTTGATCGATGCTGCACCTGGCAACAAGAGCTGGCGGGACTTGTTTACAAAACCCTCTTGCATGCATGGCATTGTTGCAGCAATCTGACAGATCGATGGAAGATTGACGGCCTCATGCTGGGGGGCCTTGGGATTGCATGTCGGATTATGTATACGGCTCTACACATCGCCAATGCAGCGGTTGTATAGGAGGCCCAGGAACGAACCGACTAATGATACAAAAGAAGAACCATCCTACGGATTCACAAACCCAATCCCAACAAACCCAACACCCTTCGAACAGCTAATAGGATTGAGACCGCATGCAGTACTCCAAACAACCGGTGAATCATGGTCGGATCATCGATCCAATCATCAGATAGCGGCTCACGCAGCATGAGTTTACGCGTTCTTGATGTTCTGGCTTTAACAGCTCTAGGTCGGCAACGACAATGTTCGGAGCTAGCCCACTCGTCATGCATTAATCACAGATTGTGGGTCGCGTCGCATAAAAAAGGCGCCGAAGCAGACGAATTCGCCATTTGCCAGTGCTGGCTTGTTGGAATCAATGGATTCCGATAAGATCAGAGTATGTGTATGGTATTCTGCTCCCCCGTCCAGTCTCTCTTTGACCCCCGACTCCGCTTCACTATCCTGCCTCGGTCCACTCGGATCCTCCCTGGTCCCTGTCTCTGTCTGGCCATCTCACACTTTATCCCTCTCTCTCTCTCTCTCTCTGTCTCTCTCTCTCTCTCTCTCTCTCTCTCTCTCTCTCTCTCTCTCTCTCTCTCTCTCTCTCTCTCTCTCTCTCTCTCTCTCTCTCTCTCTCTCTCTCTCTCTCTCTCTCTCTCTCTCTCTCTCTCTGAGTGTTTATTTGGGTCACCTAAATTTTAGGTGACCGACTCTGAGTGTTTATTTGGGTCACCTAAATTTAGGTGACCGATGCTTACCCGTTTGTGTGGAGCTTTTAGCTGGCTTTTGGAGCTTGGAGCTGTCTCTCTCTGTCTCTCTCTCTCTCTCTCTCTGACTCTCTCTCTCTCTCTCTCTCTGACTCTCTCTCTCTCTCTCTCTCTCTCTCTCTCTCTCTCTCTTCTCGCGGGCACTTTACACTTGTAGATTTTACTCACATGACAAGCGACACTGCTGCAAGCGTATGAATTCGAACAATCAACAAGCATCAACCCTAGTACGTGGGTAATTCTCAATGCAATAAATGCTGGAAACCTGGCGAAAGCCCGAAATCTTTCAATACTGAAATCTTGAGGCATGCTGCATGAGACTCTTTAATATATTTGAGAATTCCCACTATGGGTTGATAATCAGGATCATATAGCCTCGAGAGATTCTTCCTTAAACCCCTATAAGCCCTAAACCCCTTAACCCAAAACCTTCAAGTCTCTATGCCCGCAGGTGGAACAACAGTGAGGAGAGAAAGCAGGTGCTGCAGGGAATGGACATCAATGAGATGAAGCGTCGCCGCTATGCAATAGTTTAAAGTTGCGAGCTTTTGGCGACGATAGTGCTGCCAGCTGTGTGTGATCTGCTGCGTTTCAAGCAGGGATTGTGTGATCAGGAGCTAGAGTCTGTGTGTGATGATTCATTTACCGCTTGTTTACAGTTCCGCGACCTCAGACTATATACTCGAGAAGCTTCTGATCGATGCAGGGGGCTTTAGAGCAGTGTGCGTGCACAGTTTTTGGCATGCGCTGCTTATGCAAGTGAGCAGTGCGATTAATCTTGCAACTTGGGGGTCGGAGAGCTGTCATCGATGCCAGGTTCGTGAAAACTCGCTTTACAGGTCCCTCTGCTTGCAAAGTCTCGGGCCGACGCTGGGGTTGCATGGCTATCTACATCCTGTGTATGTGCTCAAAGTTGTCAGGTCTTAAAGACCATGCATCCTAGATGGTAAGCTAATGCTTTGTATCCTTATATAGAAGAATCACAGTAATATATTGGAGGTTATCCTATTTATAACCATAGGATAGGATCCCGTTATGAAGTATACTCAGCTGCTCGTCGCCTTGGCGACGTTGAGGATCAGCAGCTGGGCCAGATTCAGCGATCGTCATTCCTTACACGCGAGGGAATGTATTTTGCTGCTGCATGCAGCTGGTGCTTCAGGTTTCGGCCCCAAACCTGACGACTTAGATTTTGTGGAGATCTTCGCAGGACTAGCTCAAGCTTCGTGATGTTCATTTCGGCCTTCTTGTAGACTGCATGCATTAAGCTGCAGAATATGTATATATATATGTATATATACTGTAACACTGCATGAAGGAGCACACCTCCTCTACTCCGCCGCGAAGCTCTATGGCCTCCGATGCCATGGAGTGGACGAGACTTTACTGCTTAGAACCTAGAACCGATGAACTTCGGCCGAAACTCTCGAAACCTTCCTACATCCAAGGTAGCTTACTCCACCAAATTGGACATCTTATCCTCATTTGGATTCATGGTTTTCTTGAACTGTGCAACTCGGCAAGGATCCCATCACACCCGAATTTAAGCCAGCACCCCAACTCTACATATACATCCCAAACCCTATAGTCTCGATAATTAGATTTCGATTATATATCAAATTTCACCTCAACCCATATATATATATACATATATCTACACCTTCTTAGTGTTAAACCCTAACTTCCCGGCCCTCCACCCTAAACGCTATCCTGCCACCCGATTAAACCGGAGCCTATATCTGGCTTGCAAGTCGAGTTGGGATTATTTTAGGGTTTCCGTGTCTGATGGATGGGGAACCACTTAGGCGAGGCGGCTTAGGCCCCAAGGGGTGGCCTGGTATGCCGTCCCGTGTTCTAGCTGGATATTTATGAGCTTTGGCTGCAATGTAAGCAAAATAGCAACACTAGATATTGCATCGATGCATTGCTGCAACTTCATCTTAGGAGTCGTGGATCCTCGAAGCGCCGGCGCTTGAATGTCAAAGGACAGCTGGCTTTTAGAAGCCCGAAATGTATTCCCAAAGCCTAAATATAGAGATTCTTGCTGCACGTACAAAAGTTGATTGGTTCTGCCGTATCTGAGGCGATCCGAAACGCCAAAAGGTCAAGGATGCCAACCGGTTGGCTAGACGGGTTGCATATTTGCGGCCGTGATGCACTATATGTCGTCCTCTATCATTTTGCAGGATGAGCTAGGACTAGTGCGTACTCGAGGATCGAATATCAACACCGATCTGGGTCCTACTACATCCTCGAAAATCCCACTGGCTCCATGCTGTTCGAGTATCCGTGCATAAAGGTGTTTCAGACTGCAAATATAAGACTCCCCCAAATCCACTAAACCTGAAGCTTCGCGCAATCCCAAGCCTTCGATAGAAGCCCTGTTCATAAACTTGAGGCGAGATTGCCAGCCCACAATGCCAAATCCATAAACCTTTGCCTCGGAGCCGTGGGAGCTCCGTCGAGAAAGTGTGCTACTTGACCCGATATATGTAGTTCCAAGCCCTGCAATTAAGATCGACCCATCCGAATCAACCTAGGTTACGCTATGGGGCACTGCGCCGTTTCTGAACAAGCTCTACGAACAACTGTCCGGCACAAGGAGGAGCCCCAGCCTCCGAGTTTAAAGGTTGATTACAGGAATTCATCTTTGCAGCTTCTATATAATTAAGTTCGTGGTATTCAACCATCGTTTAGGTATATACTTAAAACACCCAATACCAGCTAGTAGCTATATGAGGATGTTAGGAAGTTCTGGGAGTTCTTGGTTTCATTCGATGACATCAATGTAGGGTATAAGAGAATGTCGGCGGTGGGAAGGACGAGCCTTTAATTCTTTCATATACACATATATAGCTCCCTGTACCGATAATCGAAGCTAGATTGATATCTACCTAGATTAGATCATGCCGCACCAGCTTTTCATGATTATATATGTACATATACCCACACGAACACATGTAACATACTAGAACACATGTTGTATGCAGCTTCGATTGCTTCTATGGATAGATTCGAACTATCGTGCTAGATGTATTGGGGATAGAGTATATACTGTACACGGCTGGCACACACCCAAAAACCTCAATCCTATGAAAGTAGAATGCCGAACAGGGAACTACCTGACTAACCGGAAAAGTCTCAATCAGGAACCAGCTGCGTCGTATCCAATCCTTCCTCAAGATGGACATAAGCCGTGGATATGTCGATGAGCACGGCCGTGCTCGCCGAGTGCCTTGTCCATTTCTGTGTGTGTTTTGCTTTGAAGTTCAGTTCAAGTGGGACTTACTTTGATCTATGTCAAGATTATCGAGGTGGGTGGGAAGGATTTGACAGCGACGGCTGTTTACCCTGGTACTTTGGCATTGAAGGTTCCCCGTCATGCATTAAATGACAGCAAAACTCGTAGAGTGGTGCGTGCACATGATCGATCCCCGGGGCCCACATGGATGTAGGTCGCTGATCTACTGGATGAACATTTCAAGACCCTGAAGCCAACACCTGTTGTCAACGAGCTGGATATGGAGCTTATGGACAGCAGTGATACTTCAAGCTCCGATTCTGGCCTCGAGGACCTGGTCGGCCCACAGTGATCCAGATGTGCAGGTGTTATACCTTTGCTATGCGGCAGCTTGAATAGGGGTCAGCTGTTAAATTTTGTGCTTGTAACGGGTGAACTGCAGGCTCAGAAGTTGCCTCGGAACCCAAATTATTATGCACTCGGTGTGTTCGCCATGCACATCCGGCCGGGAGCGTACCCAGCAGCTAGCGTGTATCAGCGTGTATCTGCGTGTATTTGCAGGTATGAACAGGCGAATAGCGTGTATCAGCGTGTATCGGCTGTTAGATACTTAGAGCATTTCGCGCGCACCCCGAAGCATCACCGATCGAGCTATTTGAGCTTTAGATTGATCAGCCATGGGTGGCTCCGGAAAAGGCAAAGCCCAAAAAGGATCTAAGAGTGCTGCCGGCGGGGATGCATCGGCTCCTGAGTCGATTGATTTGTCCATCGAAACCCAGCCACGGCATTACACGTATGTCGGGAAGATGGTCGATTCAAATGGTGCCGCTGTAAATCCTGGGAAAGGAAAGCTGGCAAAGGGTGGTGGCAAAACCCATGGAAAGGATGGTGCCAATGTTGCTGGCACAGCCGCTGGGAAGGCTGGTGGCAAAAGTCCCGGAAAGGATGCTGGCAAAAGCCCTGGAAAGGATGGTGGCAAAAGCCCAGGAAAGGGTGGTGGCAAATCCCCAGAAAAGGGTGGTGGCAAAACCCCCGGAAAGGATGGGGGCAAAACCCCCGGAAAGGATGGTGGCAAATCCCCGGGAAAGGATGGTGCCAACACGGATGGAAAGGCTGGTGGCAAAAGCCTTGGAAAGGATGCTGGCAAATCCCCCGGAAAGGCTGGTGGCAAATCCCCTGGAAAGGATGCTGGCAAATCCCCCGGAAAGGATGGTGGCAAATTCTTTGGAAAGGATGCTGGCAAAACCCCCGGAAAGGATAGTGGCAAATCCGCTGGAAAGGATGGCGGCAAAACCCCCGGAAAGGATGGTGGCAAATCCCCTGGAAAGGATGGCGGCAAAACCCCCGGAAAGGATGGTGGCAAATCCCTTGGAAAGGATGGCGGCAAAACCACGGGAAAGGATGGTGGCAAATCCCCTGGAAAGGATGGCGGCAAAACCCCTGGAAAGGATGAGGCTCAGACCGGTGGCATGAAGGGTGCCAAAGGCGGGAAGCAGGGCAAAACCAAGAGTCCGGAGGCCAGTGAGCCAGGATCTGGCAAAGGACGGGGACTCAGCACTGATCCGCATACCCCCCCGCCAAGGAATGGGTCGACAGCTGGACTGCCCAGCCCTCATACCGGCACACCCCCAAGCAACACAGCCAAAGGTAACAAAGGCAAGGGCAAGACCAAGGCCGTTTCCAAGGAGGCATCCGCACCGGAGGGCAAAGGCACAGTGAAGATTGGATGGGACGGCCAAGACCACGCAGTGCGTCGCAGGGTGTCTTTCGATGAAGGCGGGATGTGTATTCTCATCTAAACCACGCACACAGGTTGTTATAGTTCATGCTCCATGATGATCAATATCCCTGTGTATGCTTCCGCACAGTCTCCACTACGACATCGATGAGTCCATCTTTGCCAGACAGGGGTGCAAAGCTGCCTGGTTGACACGATTAATGTACTCACTATACTTGTCGATCATGCCCTATATATGTAAGTCCACTATAATACGTTAGTCTTGACATCTACCAAGGCCCGGTCGGCCCATCCTCCGGTCGGATACCGGTCTCTCGACGTCGAGTGATGGCTTGGGGCCGGTCGAGATGGCGCCGCTTAATATTCCTGATGGTGTGTCTCAGCTGTACTTATATATTCCCAGCCGGGTACACACGCATAGTCACAACTCGCTCTTATATGCACAAGACAAATTTCTACATGCATACATGTGTGTGTGTGTGCGCGAGGCACGACCTCTCACTGATGACGAGCGAGCACAGATTCAAGTGCCCTGACTCATATTCTGAAGTAGTCCACTACAATGTATTGTTCCCCCCATATAAATAGCCTGATACCCTGGATTCCTGGATCGTTCTATATCCTGATAAACACTAAGATCTCCTGCACGCCCAGGCTCTATCTGGCCCCGCAGACATCCCGCTCCAGCAACGCAAGGCCCTGAACGAGAAGCTCCGTAGGCGCATGAACAATGGCCAAGGCCGGCTTTTAGCTATAATTTCACAATCTCATATAATTGGGCCACTCGATGATTGCTGAGTGTATTTTAGCACAGGCCTACGCAAGGGCTTGGTGGCTCAATGGGCTGCAACCCCGCCAGGCTCCATGGCCCGGCTCCTCGTTTCGATTACAAACATGTTTGAAATCCCTCTGATCCAAGAAGCCTCAACCTCCTAAAAACCCTCAGGCCCAAATCCTAAACCAGTTAAATAAGTCCAGACTCAAGTTTCCAACACCGAGGTTCGAATTTCTGAAGGCTTTCCTCTTGGACAAGGACATGTCTAGCATCGTAGTCTCGCCTTACTACGAGGAGTCCCTCGGCTGATTGTTACAGATACCCTTGGTCCGAATTCCTAGCTGGCATCAACCCGCAACATCGAGGCTTTCCGAGGCCAAAGAGAAAGAAATCTTCGAAGAGCTGCCATTGTGCATGATCAAAGAAATTTACGAGAAGGTGGAGGGAGGTAAGAAGTTTCTTGCCGAGCTGATGCAGAGCGGCTGCCTCAAGATTCGTATGCAAGCTTGATCAGGGGTTTATGTTACTATCTAGAACATTTTCTTATGCATAAGGTCAGGGCGCCGGGAAGAAGCACCCACAATCCGATGATGAAAACATGCGGCTGTATAAGCTCTTCAAGTCGAACACTATCAGCAGTGCCTGGGCAGGATCATATCCACTTACAAAGTGTGCGCTAGTTCCCTCCGGCCCGGTGACCCTCTATGATATAGTATAGTGCCAAGATGCGAACATCAACAGAGTCGGCAACAAGACGACGGCCAGCATGGAGGCCTCGACCAACAAGGCAGAGAGAGCTGCTATCGCAGAGACGATTCAAGGAAAGGTCGCAGGGATGCACAAAAGTGCCTTGACACCGGCGCCCAAGAAAGGGGATGGAAAGAACAAACGCAAAAAGGACTGCGAGAGAATCGTACTGGGAAGTGTTTGTCGGGATTTACCGGGAGCTTTCTTCATTATTTCTAGTCCTGCAGGAACTTACACCGGAGGAGATTGCGAAAAAGGCTTTCGATAAGGACTTGCAATCGTGGCTCGACATATTTAGTGAAAGACGGATCTTGCTTGATTGCAGTTGCAGTACCCCACCATTTAAATATTATCACACTACAAGCTGAGGGTGAGAGATCTCGTTGACAAAGCCGTCAGCGTCGCCGCCGGATTGGGCCAATGCGGTTTAGCAAATCAGGAAGGCCTTATCAGCCAACTTGGCAACATTGCCACGAAGTGTGGCAACATCCGGGACGAGTCTTTTGGCTTCAAGAGCTTATGGGGTTCATACAGGCAAGATTCTGGTGGTTTAGGGTGCAGGGTTTTAGACTTAGAGGTTTCGGCTTTAGAATTGAAAACGTACTCCAACGGGTATATGTTGATTCGGAATCCTTTTTAAATATTAGTATAGGGACCACGTGAATACTGAACCCGCAACCCGATTGAAAACCCCAGAGGCACTAATACTGTATGGTACAGTATTGGGATACCCAAGTATATATATATACATATGTATATACTATGCGCTCTATAGAATATGTATATGTGTATATGCATATCTGCATATATATATATATATACATGTATATATATATATATATGCACTTATAGAGATATTGCTATACTGTATTAGAATATCTATTTGTATACCAACCACTACAAGCCCGACCCAAAAGTGTTTCAAGCAAGGTATCCTGAACCGGCTTCGGTAGCTAGCCCGAACTTTAAGTCGCCAAGTGTCCAGGCTCCCCAGACTTTAATCCGGCCCAGGATCCAGCAGATGATCTTCGCATCGACGCCTTTCGATGAGTGCGAGCGGTGCATGCTTTATTACAAGGAAAACGAGCTAAAGGATCGCTTGCAAACTTATGACAATGGGTGTTTTGCAGAGTATTATGTGGTCTGTCTACGACCTATGTCCCGCAGGATTACCAACGCCAGGTTCTCGACGCTGAGGGCATTCTGGTTGGACAAGAACGCCGTTCTCTAGTTGCATTAAGTTCTTCGTAGAGCTTCTTCAGTATTCAACCTCCACTTACTTAGGTAAGGCATCTGAGAAGAGAAAGCGCGAGAAAGCTGAAGAAGAACAGAAGAAGAAACAGCAGGAGGCCGACGGCCAGCAGGATCCGGATGAGTATGCTGAAGTGCAAGAGGAGGAGGACGCTGAGATGGAAGGACAGGAAGAATGGCCGGAGGATGTGTATGATGCAGATGCTGATGAAAACGCAGCCCCTGCTGCCAAGCGCCACCGATCCTAGGCCACTCTAGGTGTTCCTTTGAAAGGCAGGCTGCTGTGAAACTTAGGATGATCGATCCGGTGTTGTTTGATCAACTCCGGCTGGGGAGCTAGGGGCGGTTTGTATAGTGCAAGCATGCTGCTAGCGGCGAAATCCCGACATAAGGCTGGCTTTGAGACCATGTTATTCTGGCCGTGGCTAATTGGATTGGCTAATTAACCAGGTGGTATCTAAACTGGCTCAGTCGGGTGTCAAGTTAGCTCTGCATGGGCTTGTCGACAAACCGATACTGTTTAACCCGGGCATAATAGCTGCCTGGGCCTCAGGGGCATTCTCGAAGCTGCTGCGATGCCAAAACATGTATCCGCCCCGGCCTCCACTGCCATTGCATGTCTTGCAGCACAGTATCGAAGCAGCAGCGATCTCCCCTTTGCAATTGCCTGAGCTTCCGCTTTCAATGCAACAGAGATCCCCGTAAAGCTACTTTATGCCCAATAACCCGTAATTACTCATTCCAATATAGTTTTCTAGAAACCAACCATTGGATGTCGATCCCCACGATAACATACTAGCTGTATAGCCCATGTAACCCCAGAGAATGCGCAACAATTCCCAGTACACACAACAAGGCATCTACTCATTCTCCCAATAACCCCGAGCATGGAGTGCGAGTCGCGATGTCCGAGAATGGAAATTGGGCCACCCAGTATGTGAAAGAAACGTGCGACGATATTCTGAAGCTGTTATCTGTTGGCCAGGCTTGGCTGCTCGCAGTTGTGCCTTCCGCGGAAATCCTCAGATCCCAATAAAGATTGCAGCAGTAGCCCAGACACACCAAAACAAACCCCTAAATTGACCAACTTATACACGAAAAACAGGCCTAAGCCCGGAACCCGTTAAGACCCTGAAGCCCGGAGACCCAAAGCCCCGATGACCCAAAGCCCCGCTTTCACGCTAGCCAAGCACTCTCCAAGGTTCAGTTCTGTTGGTACACTATAATTGGCTTGAGGTCTAGAGCCCTTTAATTAAGGTATAAAGGTTATTATAGCAGCCGGCGCCCCACCACATCGCAGGTCCCCTTGGACCAGCTCGCCAAATCACTGGAACGTCTTCGAAGGCTTCCTCAGTGTGTGGTGCCGTGTCTTGGGAGCAACTATTGCGAGCTGCTTGGGGGAATGATGGCATTGCGATTATAGTCTATCTAAAATCTATGCTATGTTAAACCCGAGGAAGGATTTGGTAGAATTGGCACATTCTTTCATCAATCAGAATTCTTGGGGACAGCTCCGATGCCTGATTCGTTGGACTAACCGCCAGCCATGGCGAAAAATTTTGCCGCAACCATTCATGCACCCTGGCTGCTTGCGAGCTACGTCAGATACTTTGGGTTCAGACTTTCAAGCCCCGATTCGCGAGATCAATGATTCAAGGCTTCAGCTGAAAGCAGCCCCGTGGCTTCATCAGTATTCCTTCACCCCCTGATTGCAGCCGGAGTTCGGCCCAGGAATATGAAGATTCCCGCGGCAAGCGGTCTGGCCTGGTTCAACATCATCTTCTACTACCACACGAAATCCTTGGCTCCCTCTATGATACTGGAAATATCGGTATGGTGACGGGGGAGGTGACTCGCCTTACTAACGAGTGACTGTTGCACACTTGAGGTCTCTTTCTCTCTCTCTCTCTCTCTTTCTCTCTCTCTCTCTCTCTCTCTCTCTCTCTCTCTCTCTCTCTCTCTCTCTCTCTTTCTTTCTCTCTTTCTCTCTTTCTCTCTTTCTCTCTTTCTCTCTTTCTCTCTTTCTCTCTCTCTCTCTCTCTCTCTCTCTCTCTCTCTCTCTCGCTCTCTCTCTCTCTCTCTCTCTGAGTGTTTATTTGGGTCACCTAAATTTTAGGTGACCGACTCTGAGTGTTTATTTGGGTCACCTAAATTTTAAGTGACCGATGCTTACCCGTTTGTGTGGAGCTTTTAGCTGGCTTTTGGAGCTTTGAGCTGTCTCTCTCTGTCTCGCTCGCTCGCTCGCTCGCTCGCTCGCTCGCTCTTTCTCTCTCTCTCTCTCTCTCTCTCTCTCTCTCTCTCTCTCTCTCTCTCTCTCTCTCTCTCTCTCTCTCTCTCTCTCTCTCTCTCTCGCTCTCTGTCGCTGTACTCTCCCGACATCTCCTATTCACCGGTACATACATATAGACACACACACACACATGGCTTCGTTCTTTGCTTCTATCTATATATTCATATATACGTAGAAATCTACTCATATATCGGTTGCATGCATTTATAATTATGTAGGTTTCTCATAATATTGTATATACATGCACACATGCATGTATATGTACACATGTATCGGGCCTCTTGTTGTTGACTCGTTTTATTTGGACGCCCCTGTACCATATCTTGTTTGGCCGCCTCGTTGTTTTATCATTAACTTGAAGTTATAGATTACGAAGGAGTGTGGCCACACGGGTTTCAAGACTCATGCCGCCGAGGAAGACGATCTGCTGCTATATTGGCAGGAGCTCTCCGAGACGGCTTGGTTTCGAGAACACCCGGTTCTCAGCGCCACTAGACCACAAGTATATACCGACATGATTGATATGGGGCCTGGAAAATCAGCCGTAATGTCTAGAACATATTGCTCGATGCTTAGGCCACCGACCCCAAACACTGTATACTGCTTCGGCTATACGGAGACGGGGCAGAATCTACGAGCCACACAGCTTGATCTGGATTAAAGTGCAGCCATAAACTTGGTTCGACCTTTTTTGTATCTAAGAACACCAAAGCTTCGAGTGCTTCGCGATGCTAGCGCCCATGGCACCGGCATCGACGATGCAATCACGATTTCTGAACTTGGCTCGCATTAGAGTAGAAACAGTGAGCAGACGGTCATCGGTGATTCGTGATTAGTCCCTTAATCGAGGATCAGCTGTATGAATATGCACTATCATTCTGGCAACTGTCGCAATGCAGTCTTGGAAACATTGAAGTGGTCATTCAATGCTCTCGGCCGCCAAGCTTCGAATCATCTAATACATTCAACAAAGTGTATAATTGTTTTCGACCCATCTATAAGGTACTGGTGTCTACCCGGCCGCAGACCCATTTGGGAATGAATTTGGGCCGGAATATATGCCACAGAGATGGAGAATGGCCGGGAAACGGATATGCGGGCCGTTTGTCGGTATATTCGATGCAGTGCAGGCAGATCTAGAGTTCGTTCGTAAAATCTTCAGCCTGCAACGAACCTTTGCAGCAATATACGTGATACAGGGAGCAACAAAAACCGTGTATAT